TCACTGTTTTTTTTCCCCCTATTCTTAAAGCACACCCTTTAGCATGCCTTGCAGTGCTGATTTGAGGTATATTCTTGGAGGATTCTTTTGTCCAGGAAACACTTATCTGGCCTTTCATTTTAAGTGAGAGCCTTGCTGGGTAGTGGAGTCTCAGTTGCCAGCCTGGGTTTTCATTGCTGGGAATATGTCCTGTCATTTCCTTCTGGCTTGGAGCATTTCCATTGAGAAGTCAGCTGCTAGTCTTATCCAGGCTCCCTTGTATGTATTTCCTGTTTCTCCTTTGCTGCCTTTAAGATTCTCTCTTTGTCTTGGAATCTTGCCATTTTAATTATGATGTGTCTTGAAGTGGGCTTCTTTGGGTGCCTCTTGATTGGGACTCTGTGTTTCCTGGATTTGTGTCACTTTTTCTCTCATCAAATTAGGAAAGTTTTCCACATTACTTTTTAAACAGGTTTTCTATCCCTTGATCTTCTCCTCCTTCTTGTATTCCTATTATATGGATATGATTATGTTTCAGGTTGTCCTGCATTTCACTTAAACCCCCTTCATTCTTTATGAACCTTTTTTTCATTTTCTTGCTCTTTCTGGATGTTTTTTTTTCCTACCATGTCCTCCAGCTCAGTGATTCGATCCTTTGCTTCATCCAGCCTGCTTGGAATTCCTTCTAGTGTGTTTTTTTTATTTCTGGGACTTTGTCCTTCATATATTCCTCGTTTATGTTCATAGTTTCTATTTCCTTTTTCATATTATTATAGTTCTCACTCAGTTCCTTGTAGTTTTCTGTGAATTTCTTGAGCATCTTTATAACCATTATTTTGAATTCTATATCTGGTACTTTGCTTGCTTCCATTTCACTTAGCTCTTTTAGTGGGCAGTCTTCCATTCCTTTTGATTTCATGTTATTTTTTTTTGTCTCCCCATTTTAGGTGACTCTTTGTTTGATTCTGCACTTCCTGATATTTCATGTTACTAGCTGTCCTTGTAGGGTGAACTTCTATGGTAGGAATTCTGTGGGGTTCAGTGGTGTAGTCTCTTTGATCTCCTTGTCTGGATGCCCTAGGTTTCCCCTTCTTTTGTTTGTGTGGGTTTTCTTGCTGTACTTTGGTTTTTACCTTTTGGTGGTTCCTTTCTTGGTGATTTCTCTCCTCCAGTGGGTATACTGATGTTGACAGCACCCACCTATTCTTGTATGTGATCAGTGGCAGGGGGATAGGCAAAATGGATTAAGACAGAGGGAGAGTATGTAATGGGATTTAAGTACCAGCAAGTGGAGTAAAAAATAGGAGATTCTTTGGATATGTATAGTGTTAACTGTGATATTTCACCCAACTAGCCACTTTTTATTACAGGTGAAAGGGAGATAAGACTTTTGTTAGAGGGGAGGATGATTGTGAGCTGAATCTAGAAAACAGGGTGTTTGCACAAGGTTAGGTTATGAGAAATAGTGGGAGTAAAGGATAGAAAGCAGGCATAAAGTGAGAGAAAATAGAGTTAACCACAACAATAATAATGCTTAGGAATAAAGCAAAGTGGGCTAAGATGAGGGAGGTTTGCTGTGCAGTCTGTACAATTGTATGGAACAACAAATATTTACAATAGTACTGGAACAACAATAATATGACAAGAAATATGTGATTTGGATAAGCAGAATGGAAAGTAGATGATCAAAAGAAGTCTGTTATTGGAACTCAAGTGAAGTGAAAGAAGGAAAATTAAAGTGAAATAAGGAGAGAATAAGGAAAACCAGTCAAACAATGCAATGAAAGAGAGAAAGAAAATGAAGAAAACTAAATATATGGAAGATAAATTTTAAAAATACTAATTAAATAAAAGTAGTAAAATAGTGGAAAAATAATAATACATATAAAAATAAAATGCCAGTTCTAAGGGATAACAAAGTGACATTTGTCTCAGTTTCTCAATTTGGGGGTTGTTGTTGTTGGCCTCCCCCTTTGGATCTGTCTTTGGACCTTTCATAACTCCACATCTTATTGTCTTATTTTGGGGGAATAAAAAAAGGGAAAAAAACACAGAGGAAAAAAAAAGGAATAAGCCTCCTGCTCACTTTAACACCATTGAGCAAGTTCTGCTGTTCCTCCTGGATGCCCAAGGAAGAGACAGACTGGGTTTCATTTTCCTCCCTCTCTATGATTTTTAGAGAATAGGGACAAGGTCTGGGCTGCAATATTCAGAGTTGCCCAGCCTCCAGCCCAGGTCTTCTGTGAGCTGCCAGGCTCAAGAATTAGAGAAACTTTTCTATGAAATTTTAAGTCCTCTTTTAAAATAGTTTTGTATAGTGGTCTTAATTCCAGCTAGTGTATCAGGTCTTAAAAAAATAATGAGAAAAATCATGTTGAGGCAATGTATTATCAACCGTTATGTTAAAAGAAGTGACTGACTTCATGTTCTTATTGTCTGTACTGGAAAGGGCCCAAGTTGCACTGGAACATTTTGCAACAAATATTATCTCAAGGCATTTTAGTATTCTCTCTTTTCTTGAGAGACACAGAATATTCTCTCTTTTCTTGAGAGAGTTGCTTTATAAATATAATTTCCCCAATTAATTCAGTATCCAAAGCATTTAGCTCCAAATACCTTTCATGCTTCCAGAAAAAAAAATATGTGGGCACCATGGTTATATAAAAAAGCCTCACCCTTATCAGGTGAATTGGGCTGATTTGACCAATAAAAAATATGCTGCCTCCTCACCTTTTACAGTTGTAAGGGGGCAGGTTGTGATTTAAAAACTGTCACTAGTTGATTAGACATCCCTACTATTTGCACTGAAGCTTTATTCCCAGGAAGAAGGCAACTCAGCTGGATGTGATGAAGAACAGATAATGTAGCCTCAGTACCTGCAAGGGCCTTTGAAATTTCCCCCAAGACAGCAATTTTACTTTGTTTTAAAATATTGGTAAGCAGAAAATGAAATACCCTGATCATTTTCATAGCAAACATATACTTGCTTGTTTGTTTTTTCCTCTTTCTAAATCTTATTTAGTTTCCTACAACCATTTTTAAGGTGAGCAGACTTCATTATAAAGTTTCCCAATGAACCCTATTTGTTAATTCTGTTGCTTTACTTTCAGGAACCACTTAATATATTAATTAAGGTGGGTCAGAATAGCCAAAATCACATATTCCAACATTGAAATTATTACTTTTTTGGTGAACACCTCAAGGTCCTAGAGAAAATCAATGAAACCTTCAAGTAGATTTTAAAATTTTATTGTAGTTTTAGGAATATAGATATTCATAATTATCTAGGAATACAGGTATTCCTAAATACCTAACATGGTTCACCTCTGCCTGAGACCAGCTATTTCCTGAACAGAACTGCCAGAATTCCTGGATAATTCTTATCAAAATTCTCATGTTCTCAAAGTCTATTAAGGAGTGGGAGGTTAGGGGCTATAAATGAAATAAAGCAGGAAAGAGTAAAACAATAAATACAAAAATAGGGCAAGTGTATACTGAGAAACCTCAGAAAACAGAGGATATAGTGTAGAGACTGTAGAAGTGAAACTGGAAAAGACTGCCTGTCACTACCAAACCCAATGAGCAATGACAGCAATTAAATCTTTATGGGTGCTATATTCAGATGGCCAGCAATCTGAGATCATGGGTTCATAACCTAGCAGACCATCTTGTCTTTTCTTTCCAGGCAAATGTTTTTATATCAGGAAATAAACAAGGTGTGGTGAGGAGTTTTAAAATTCAGGGAGGATCAGGTGAAAGAAGCTGGAACATTCCTGTCCTGGGTAGTTAGCTGTTCCTGGGGGTGGGTGGTCATCTGTCTGTCCCTGGAACACAAATGCCCAGATGCCTCCACTTGTCCCCAGGCAATAATCTTTAGAAGTGCCCCAGGAGGTAGGCTGTTTTCTTAGGAGTCATGATGGGCCTTATCTATCTGTAGTTTCTGAAACAAAAGCTTTAATATATACATTACTTAGTAGTACTATAACTTTTTATCTTCAACTAAAAATTTCCAACTCTTGAGTCCCCTATCAGAAGGAGGAAGAATGAGGTGCTGGCATTTGCTAGCTTCAGAAGCCTTTTTTAGTTCAGAGACAGTTCTGAAAAATTTTATTAACTTTTTATAAGAGTTTATCTATATTCTTCCTAGAAGATTTTAATTTCCAGTACAAATATGCTTCCCATTTATTCAGTTAAATTTTAGAGCTGTCTTCTTTCTGATTGTGCATGAAAAAATCTAATTAGTTGTCAAAATGATAGAGGGCTCAAGAGTTGGAAAATTTTAGTTTAAGGTAAAAAGTTATAACCCTAGTAAGATGGTCTGTTAGGGTATGAACTCACCATCTTCTCAGATGGCCATGGGAATTAAAAGCCCATAAAGATTCAATTGCTGTCATTGCTTATTGGCTTTGGTAGTGACAGGAAGCCCAAATGCCGGTGTCTTTTGTAGTTTCATCTTTTGGCAACTCTGCTGGGACAGACTTTAGGACTCTCCAGGTAGTCTGGGTATTTGGTGAGGAGCCCCATTGGCTGCCTGGGCTGAAAGGCCCCGGGTGGTTTGCATTCAGAGAATCCCAAGCAGGTGCCCAGTGATTTCACTTGGGGATTCTCTCCATCACTCCTGGCACTTGTCGTTTATCATGTTTGTTTGAATCATTGCACTTTCTGGTTGAGGATAAAATCCTGGGTCACAACTTAGGTCATCTGGTAAAGATACCTTTCTGGGTTACAGAACTCAGTCTGAAAAATGCCTTACATTTAACAGTGTGCTAGCCACATCTGTGTTCCCTTGTCCATTCCCATTCCCCACAACAGTGTCCACACACCCTCCACACATTTCCCTGGTGAAGGCACTAAACTCAGTTTTATGTGAACTCCTCATGTACTTCCACCTGCCATCAAACAACCACTTCTTATCTTTTGAGGAACTCAGCATCACCTCCACCATGAAGAAGGTGCAACTGGGACAAAGCAGAGGTGGATCTGGTGTGGAATGTGACCTTCAGTCAACAGTAAGGACAATGTCAGCACACATTTTTTTTTGTATTTATTTACTCAATGCAAGACATCTAAGGACAATCTACCTTGACACTAAATCTATTAACAAGGTGCGAAATTGTTCAGAGTTTAATAACATAGAAGAGGAGATCAGGCTCACTCATATTTCACATCCATCTCAAGGGGGAACACTTTCAACAGAACTGATGGGTCAGAGGCTTCACACTGGTCATCCCCAGCATCCTCTTTCCTGATGGGGTCTATGGTGAGGTTTCTGTGGTTCTGCAACAACTTCATTTTTCTCCTGAGCTTCAGATTCCTGCAATGGAACAAACACAGGTTAGAACCACATTTGTGTAGAGGTCAAGGCCACAGCAATTTTGTGCTCTGTGACTGTGGTGCTGAGGGCTAAAAGGGTAGGCACTCTCAGGGGCTCTGTGGAGAAACAAAAAACGTGACTGATTGTGAATGGGCTTGAGACCTGGGACCACACTTCTTCCTTTGAGATCTCAGCCTCTCTCAGTCCACACTGAGCTCAGTGAAGTTCACTAGAGGATAGTCCTGCCTCTGCAGAAGGACCATTATCTTTCTTCAGATGACAACCTGTAAAAAGAACTGTGTGCTCTTGGTAAGCACTGGTCATCTCAGTGTGTGCCCTGACCTGTTCCCACAGAGGCAGCACAGGAAACCCTTTCCAGCCTATGTGTCCTACAACCATATCATCAGGGAAGATTATTTGCTCTCATGAGGTTTTATTGATCATTTCCAAAAACTTTCTTTGCCTTCAAAAAACATCAAATCTCACACATCATACAAAATTCCACATGAAAGCCCTGACTGCTGTGGGTCAGGGGATGGAATGCAGACCTGCAATTCAAAGGGTCACTTGTTCCACTCCCAGCTAGGGCACGTGCCTGGCTTATAGGCAAGGTCCCCAGTGGCAGGGCCTGTGAGAGACAACCACACATTGTTCTTTCTTGGGAGAAAGAACAGGACCATCCTCTAGTGAACGTCACAGAGCTCAGTGTGGACTGAGAGAGGCTGAGATCCCAAAGGAAGCAGTGTAGTCTTTCTGCCTCCCTTCTCCTCTCTCTAAAAATAAATAAAGACTGTACTTTCAGGGATCATTTCTGTAGTTCATTAAAAATAAATAAATAAAATGTTTAAAAATAAATAGGTAAGGCAGTTCCATTTGTAGTGTTTGGAGAAAATTCCATAGTGTTTTCCAGTGACTGAACCAGTCTGTATTCCCACCAAGAATGTACTAGGTGTTCCGTTTCTCCACAACCTTTGCCAGCACTTGTTTTTCCATTTGGTTTTGATGGCCATTCTGAGCATCAAGAAATGATATCTTATTGTAGTTTTAATTTGCATCTCTCTGATGGCTAGTGACACTGAGCATCCTTTGCCATGTCTGTGGGCCCTATGTATGTCCTTCTTTGAGAATGTCTCCACTTCTTGGATTATACCCTAAGAATCCTGAAACACCAATTCAAGAGGACCTATGTACCCCAAGCAGCACAATTGACAATAGCCAAGCGTTGAAAGCAATCAAAGTGCCCCTCCATAAATGAGTGAATCAGAAAACATTGGCACATTTACACAATGGAATACTATGAAGACGAAAGAAGGAGCTCCTACCCTTCATGACACTATGGGTGGATCTGGAGAGCATTATGCTAAGTGAAATGAACGACGCAGTTGGTGGCTAAGTTGTTTAGAGGATTGCTTTGTGCACCCAAACCGTGCAGCTCAATCTTTGGTCACAGCACATACCTAGGTTGCAGGCTCAGTCTCCATTCAGGGCACTTATGGAGGGCAATCATCCGGCCCTCCTTCTTTACATCTCCTTATTTTTTTAAAAAGTTCTCTTAGCTCTCTCCATTTTTCTCCCTCTAAAACAACAAAAATGAAAACATGGTCAATATCATTAGGAAAATGCAGACCAAAACTCTTGGACTTGCAGTTGTTGCTTGCGTTGCTGAGTGTGAGTAACTCTGCTGTGCAGGTAACAGAGAGAACATTGCCCTGGATGGTACATTCGATTGCTCCAAAGGTTTCTGCAATCAGAGTTGACATGTCTCAGCTCTAAGGCAACCTGAGTCTTTAAAAGAACAAGGCAATGATCTCGCCAAAATGGAGGCATAAGTAGAAACCCTTTACTTCCTCACACAACCAAAAAAAGGATAACAACCAATCTAAAATCAGTAAACAACCAGATGTGCCAGAAAATCATACTGAGATTGTCACAATTTGTCTACACTCTGTGTATCCTGCATTATATGTAAAAACCGAACCTGAAACAAAATGCAGAGTGGAATGGAGGTAGTGTCCAGGGCTATCAGTCCTGTGTGTGAAGTAGGAGTCACCCCTCCCAACCCCCAGTCATTAGAGAGCAACCACTCACCATATACATCAAGTTTCCCCGATGCTGTTTCAAATTTTGAATCTGGAAAGTGAGCCACTACTGTGTACATTCCTTCGTCCTTCTTGGTGACATTTTTCAATAGCAAGGATCCATCATCGGTTATCATCTGTTCTCCATTGGATTCAGGACCACATAAATGGAAACGTGGTGTCATAACACAAAAAGCAATTGTATTATTATGGTCCACGCCTTTCCCATTGTACCACACAATTCCTACAACCCCAGGAGGCTTATTGCGGATACGCAGAACCACATCCTCCCCTTCGGTAGCAAAGGTTGACAAAACTTCGATTGTGGCTGTGGTAGGTGGGCTCCAGAAGGTTAAGAGTGACACTAGGAAATAAAAGAAAAATGCATCAATATTTGCATCTATGTATTGGGACAGAAAAATGAGGCCCTGAATTCTGAGTGAGTCTCTTTATCTCTCAGCCTTGGTCTGTAGGTGAGTGTGTGTCTTCCATGGTCAAGGTCAACAGCATGGCCTCCATTATTTCAGCACCTCTGAAGCTGTTATTTTTTCTGTTTCAAATACTCTCCCCTAGGTGTTTGTCTTGGTAACCTCCTCACTGTGCTTAAACCAATGCTGACACTCAGGCGCCGTTTTGAAAGATACATTTGCCGATCACCTGAATTCTCTAAGGATTCCCTGTGTTTACTTTCTGACCTGCCCTGCTCTGTTTTTTTCATGGCTGTTGTAGATTTCCTGACCTCACATCTACACCTTTCCTTGTCCCTCTCTCCTCCATACAACATGGGCTTTCTGAGAGCAGGGCTTGCCTGATCTAGTACCCCCAGTGACTACAACTGCTTGAAAATTCATACTGATGAATTAATGAGTCCTGTACCTTCTGGGGTTTATTTGCCCATTTCTGGGATTTGCAGTAAAGACAACGTCTAGTACCCCTAGTTCAATTTTTTTCTGATGTTTCCTGACACCAGTAAGTATGTCAATAATAAATCATTATTATTATTACCAGTTTTCATAATTCAATACTCAGCGATGAATAACAGCAAATGAACAGCAATCCAGGTTTTCCTGCCTCCCACCACTTCCAGATTATGAGATTTTCTTCTTGCTGAGCACCCTTCCCGATCCTACTCTTTGCTTTTGTCCTTTACACTCAGGTGCAGACAGAAGCCTTCCCTCTTTTCTCAGAACACTAGCCTCTTCAGCAGACCCAAGCCCAGTCTCTGTGTCACATCCTTAGTCTATGCCAAGGAATTGTCTCCTACTTACCAACCAGTAGGAGCCCTTGCCAGTGGACAAGTCCTCTGTGGGTAGAGACTGAAAGGAACCCCATGGTGTATGTTGTCTGCTGTGTGGCAGCCTCTTTGACAGAATCTTGATGTTCTGTAAGGCTCACAGGAACCTCTGTCCAGAATGGTGCAGTCTGCTGTGTGTCCTACCTGTGGGCTGACATTTATTCTGTTGGCAAGATTACAATTCTTGTCATGTGAGCTGGGGGCAGGGAGTATGCATATGCCCATCCCACTCCCTGCTCTAAATTTTGCCATCCTTGGCTCTTCTAACCAGTACTGCCCTCTTATAATTTGTTTCCCTGAGGCCTCTCAATACCACACAAACACACATGCAAACACATCCACACATGCATAAACACACACACACAAACACCCATGCTCATGCTGTACTTGGAAAAGCCCGAGCCTGGGGTTACTAGGTTTAACCCCCAGAGGGGTTTCTCCACAGCTTCCTGTCAGGTGCCCAGTAGTCTTTCTCACAGTGCTCTCTTGCTCTCTCTCTCTCTCTCTCTCTCTCTCCCCCACCTTTGACTCTTCCCTTCAGAGAAGTAGTTCTTGAGCTAAGTCACAGAAACCTGTCACAAGGAAGTCACTGTTGCTGTGCATTAGATCACTTGTGAAACATTGTCACATTGTAATGCCCAGGTGACACCTCAAAAATGCAGTTTAAGCACCTGTCCAGCTAATGTGGGTGCCCATTCAGAGTGAGATCCCTTGATGTAAAAGTAGAAGTAACTCTCCTGCTCTCCTGTGCACATGGGGAAGTCTCCAGATCCTGTTAAACTGCAGATTCTGACTGGGTGCAGTGGGCCAGAGACTCTGTATCTGACAAGCTCTGAGGGGAGGTTGATCTGAATGGCCTGTGGAGCTCACTTGGAATCCCAGGGCTGACAGGGACACAGGTGTCTTCAGAGGATGTCATACTAATGCCAGAATGGCCTCTGCTGTGTCTTTAGTTTGGGTCTGTCAGCACCAGATGGAGAGCCCCAGATATCATCAAAGAAGAGACTATTTGTTTGTGACACAGAAACCCAGCTGGGCACCAGGTCTTCCCCATGTTCTCAAAAGCTCTCTCATTTTTTGTATGTTCCCACATGAAGGTAACACAAATAACTCTGGGGATGAGAAGTGGTAAAACCTAGTGATAATTGCAGAGGGGAGCCTTCTTCTATCTCAGGTTGTCAGCAGAGTCGCTTTTGCTTCCAGGGATAAAAACTGAAAATGAGAATTCTCAGTAGGACATGCAGTTTTTGGTGTGAGTGGGAGATGTCTTCTGTGTCCCAGGAAGAAGGGACTATTGTGAAAGGGTGGATGTCTGTGGGCTGCCTGGTTCTCAAGGAACAGTTTCAGGTAGACCATTCCTCTCCAAGTCTGTTTGTAGGACCTGTCCTTGTGCTGCTGGCTGTTGGGAAAACCTCTCAGTTATCCTGGGACAGATTCCTTGCCATCATCCCAGTTGCCCATGGATGATGCCAGGCATGGAGAACAGAGCAGCACAGAAACCCCTGAGAGAGGAGGTACTCCTAGGCTTTGTCAAGGTCAAAAAAGTCCAAGCTTATACAGCAATATAATGAGTTTATCTGAGCCAAACTGACCTCATATACCTTGGAGAGAGGACTCAAATGCTTTGAAGAAAGGCCATTTTTCAGCTTATTTTTACATTATCATCAAAGTAGAAGATGATACAATTTGGATAAAATTCAGAAGGAGGTGAAAGGGAACATAGCAGAGAAATCCCCAGAATTGGAAAAAAATTAAAAAGCAAAATAGATACACACATATTTTTTTACATTGGAGGGTAGAAGATAATTAGCATTTACAGTACACAGAGAAGGTGCACAGGTGACCAGACAGCATAAAGTATGCTGTGTTCTCATACACTTGACCCAGATCGTGTGATGTCAATTGTCCAGTCAAGAAAATCACTCTGATGGGTCAAACTTATGCTCTCCAAGATGCACAAAAATGGATCAGGGCTCACTTAAGTTAAAGACTGACCTTCTTTAAGGAAAAAAACAGGCCTGGGATGTGACAACCTGCCATCACCTGCCAAGTTAGAAATTTCTCATTAGAATATACTATGAGGCTTGTCAGGCATGCCATGTGGCCCCCTGAGCTTGCCAAGGTTACTGCACAGACCATTTCTGTGAACAGTCTCTAGAAGTAGCAGGTTCCATAGAGCAGTCATGAAGATGGACATGAGAAAGACATGTTGAAGCAGGGGATGAAAATCAGGCCACTTCTCCATGTTCTTGGCCAAAGCCAGGTTCCTTTGTCTATTTCCTGTGGCTCAATGTTGTCCCCTAGAGGACAGAAGCAGACCTGCAGCCAATGTCAGGTGCTGCACAGCATCACTGAGCAGTGTAGGGTGAGCCTAGTGAAAAGGCAGGCATGTCCTAAATATTATGAGTCCAGTGTCAGGATAACTGTCCCACCAGGGGCATGTGCTGAGCCATACAGAGTACTCTGCTTTCAAGTATCCAAAAGAAGGGCCTGGTGAAGGTTCTCCTGAGGCTTTTGGGAAAAGGTATAGGTCTGGAGGATCGATCCAACATATACCCTATGTGTCCACCATTACAACATTGACATGTTGCATATAAGGCATTTCTGTGTCCCTGTGAGCCCCCAGGGCGCAGGAGCAGAAGCATCTCCAGGTGAATACTCAACTAGGGTCCCTGTGTGTTCTCTTAGTAGGGGAAGAGAGGTTTTTTTTTAGAACCCTGAGCACCTGTGAGATGGAAGCAACTACAGTTCCTGGGTTCTCTGCACCATTCAGCAAAGCAAGTTTCCCTTGTTCCCCAGGACATCATGAAGTGGAGACACATCCTTAGAGACAACAGGCAGGTGTCCCACTGACTGAGAATTTTGAGAATGAAAAGTCTTCCCTGATTCCTATAAGATCAGGGTGTGCTCTTTCCTCCCCTGGCAGTAACTCTACCAAGGGTTGAGGATCCAGTGTTTGTGTAGGTCAGGTATCTGTGAGAACAGGGAAAACACAGGCCTGGGACAAGGAGACATAACTCACCAGGTGGGACTGTGGAGGACTGTGAATTTGGAGGAATAAATGCAGTCCAACTCCTCAGTGTTAGGAAGTTCCTTTCTTTCCTTTAGATGATATGAGAAATAAATGTCTGATCCTGGAATATCCCCAAGCAGGCGCCATCCTCTTGTCATGCTGACACCAGTGTTTTGTGTCTATAAGAACATAATTTAACTGCAAGTGTTCCACAGTGATAGGCTTCCACTGTGCAGTTTCCCTCATTGATTTAACACGTGTTTATGGAGCATCTGTCATGTGTCAGAATATTGGCTGGGCCCTGGAAACTCCAAACAGAATAAGACAAGTGTTGGCCCTATGCTCATTGACTTTACCTGATAGGCTGTCAGGTAAATCATGGCTCTAGGAACTTAATTATAATCCAGTGAAGGGCTTCCAAAGAAAACTTCTGATGCCCCCAGAGTATGTAATTGAGTCTCAGCTGGTCTGGGGAACATGGAAAGCACTTCTGAGAAAGTACCCACATGTCTGCAACCTGGACAGGTAGTGGACATTTACTCCATAAAGAACAGAGGGTGGTAAAAGATATCTTCTTCAGAAGACTGACCTTTGTAGGGGTGATGCTTGGCTGGATGGAAGAGTAGACAGAGTCCATTGCGGGAGCTTGAAGAGTTAGAAAGACTGTATAATGAGAGATGCTGTTGGGTTTGCTCTTCTTCTGCACTATGGATGCTGCTGAGGTGGAGTCAGTGGTGCCCCAGAAAGGCTCCATCTGCAGAGGAATTCTGCTGCCCCCTGTGGACAAGTAGAAACATGGGCAAGAAAATGTCATGTTACAGTTGGGTATCTTTTTTTTTAATTTTGGACTTTGCATTCAACTTATACTTTTGGTAATATTTCATGGATGTATATATAATTTTAATATACTTATTCAATTATAGTGAATATAATGAGCTTCACATATTGAAAGTATGCAACTTATGAAGTGTTTTCAGATACATGCACCAGAGAAATATTACAATAAAAATTAAGACCATGTTCCTTACTCTTCAAGTGTTTTCATGCCCTCTTGTAATCTCCTTTTTCTTCACCTCTCCACCTCCATTTTTATTGTTAAGGGAATTCTCTTCAGTTCTATTTTCATTATAAATTCATTGGCACTTTCTGGAATTTTTAAAAACTTTTTTTATAAACTATTTAATTTGAGGCCATATTTGGCTATTTTGACATAGTTCTTTCTTTTTATTCTCTAGTTATATCTCATTCAGGGGTACATTAATTTTGTTTATCTATCCACCCTTCATGAACACTTGTGTTGTTTCCAACATGGGGCTGTGAAACATAAACCTTCCATGACCACATGTGCAGAAACATCTTCAAGACAAAGACTCAGTGCTTGTAAAACCATGAATAGCTAGAGAAATAAAAGTCAGGCAGCTACCACTGGAAATCTGGTCTAGAGTTGACATGGCCACAGCCCCACCCAGAGGTAAGGAAACACCTGCTTCTTCACATAAAGCTGTGTCAGCCACAGCTCACCCAACAGTCAACACCTTAAGGAAATAATGGTCATTCTATCTTCCAGCTTTTGAATCTAACACTAGTGCATCTTGGAGGCTGAATTTGACTCACATTTGGATCTCAGTCACAACAATTATGAGAAAAATAACATTACAACTTTCAGTCCCTATGATATAAAAGAAAATATAGAATAAAATGAAAGCATGCATGCTAAGTGCCAAAAGACCACATGGGGCATATCTGAGTTCACATGCAGGCTTAGTGACTCTGGTCACGTCATCCCACCTCAAGAAACCTCAGGTATGTCACTTGACATCAGAGAAGATGTTTTGTGTTCTTTGCTGGGTCTTAGAAAAGAGAGGCTAAACTTTTGGAATGTTGCAAGTGATGAGGGTGATGAGCGTGCTTTTGTCATGATGAGACAATTCTTGACAGGCTTCTGCATAGTTGCAGAGTTAAGGCAGGTCACCAGAAAGATCACTTCTGGATCAGAAGCTTGAATTTTCAGCTGTCAATGTAAGAAACATCTAAACCTGTAGAGAATTTTTCTGAGTCTCTTTGAGGCAATCTTGAAGACAATCACCAGG